GTGCGCAGCGAGGAAGCACTCGGGACCCAGCTAGGAGCAGCTGCAAGTCAGGGTTCAACAGAGGCGCCTTGAGGACCAGGTTCTTGGCAGGCAAATGTCGCCGGCGGCACAGATGGCGGCGAACAGGAGGAGGAACGTGGCAATGCGGGGGTGAAAAAATAGCGGCGGGGCAGATTGATGGGCAAACAGACCAGTTCCTGACACAACCTCTGCATGAGGCCTTCGCTCGTGAAACCCAGAAGTCTGCACCCATCACCCCCCCAAAAAAGGGAGACGCTTTCTGCCCCACTTTAAGAGGACAGTGACTTGCTGCCTTAGTAGACCAGGCGGCTGCAATGTTCCCTTAACTCTGTGCAAAAAAGAGAGAGCACAAAGCAGGTAGACTGCCCCTGCCTCTGGAGGCTTCTTTTTTCTAAGGCTCCTGAATGAAGGCTCTGGTTGAAACGGAGATATGAGAAGCTGCCTTATTCTGAGTCATATAAATGCAGGCATTTCTGAACCATCTCCTGCTTCTTCTATTTCCCCGTCCCTGCACAGACAATTCCATCTGGCAAAAGAAGACGAGGGAGAGAGAGAGGCTGGCTTTGTTCTCTTCCGCACAAAAGCCGCTGCAGAAACCAACCTCATTATTCTCTTTTACTTTCTCTCTCCCGGTCGGATTGGAACATCCAGGCTGGCAAATTGCACCTGGAGGACCTGGAGGAAATGAGCGGAAAGAGAATAAAAGGAGGGCAGCTCATCTCGGACTTCCCTGGCCCTCCCTTCGGGGCACGGAGGCGGCCAAGTCACAGGGAGGTGTGGGCAGAAGCATGCTCAGTGGGTGGAGCACTTCATTTGCACGCAAAAGGTCCCAGGGTTCAATCCTTAGTGTCTCCAGGCAGGACCAGGAAAAGACTCCCTGTCTGCTGCCAGTAGAAGACAACACTAAGCTAGATGAACAGATGATCTGCTCTTCCGATGCTCCTAACTCTCAGCCGCCCCAACGCAGTCGCTGGTCAGGGGCAAAGAGGTGCAGGACCACGAATTTGTCTTATATTGCTGTGTTTCTAACCCACCGTTTCCTCCAAGGAGCTCATGGTTCTCCTCCCACGCCTCATTTAAAAAAAAAAAAACATTTTTACTGGTTTTTCTACAAATACAAAAACCATTAAGCACTTATCCAGCAATACATCTAGACGTCTCCCACTCCTCATTTAATCCTCACACACCCCCCCCCGCAAGGTTAGGCTGAGAGGCAGTGGCTGTCCCATGGAGGGTGGAACTATTCCGCACCACGAGCACTAGGATCTTGCTATATCATTATAGCTGAATCCCAGGCTGAATCTCCAGACAGGGATGAGAGCTACCAGCCGGACCAATGGTCTGGCTGGGTATGAAGCGGCTGGCTGCTGAAGGCAGAATCACGAGGACTAGAAGATTGCATCGTTTTGAGGGCAACAGCTCCGTGGCTCTTCAGATGCTCTGCCACGGAGATCTCCCCCCCCCCGCCTGCTTAGAGGGGGGAGGATGAAAGGAGGACCAGCGAACTTCCTTTAGGGGCCGAAAATGCCCATTTGGGTCAGAGATCCATGGAGAGGGGGTTGCCCGGCGACAGAGACCACCCCTGGCCAGGCGCCCCCCTGGTCCACGCCCGGACCGCACCCACCACGAAGACCCTTCTCAGACACCCGCTAGAAGCTCTGCTGACCACGCCCCGCACCTCCCGGTCTCTCCAAAATTAGGGAGCCCTCCAATCTCCAGGCCAGCCCCTACCTCCCCTCACTGGACCAGCGCAGAGGGGCGCCAACCAAAGAACCACCACCCGCAAAAAAACCGCAGCGCGTTTTATCCCTCAACTCTTTCTTGATTCATGTTTTTGTGTTCTCCCCAATCCTCAATCCAGGGCGGGCGCGCAGAGACCCTCTCCAATGCGGGATGCACGCAGCTCCGAAGCTTCTCCTATAGTGCGAGATCCCCACCCCCAAAGAAACACACCAAATGTAGGGGGCCCCCCCCATTCCCCACTCAGCGCAAAGGGCAGCTTCAGAGAGGAGAGGAGAGGCGTCCGTGGAGCGCCAGAGCGCACACAGGTTCTTAGAGGGGCCCCCCACGCCTCGCCTTGGGTGAAGGAGACGGACCCCCCCCCCTACAAAATAAGCAGCCACGTTTCTCTCCCCCGCCCCTCGCAGGTCGCCCAGCCACCCCGAAGAGCCGTCATCCCGAGAGCCTCAGGGCGCAAGAAGCTCCTTCGCCGAAACCTCTCCAAATTCAGGATGCGCTCTGCTTGCCCGTTGCTGCGCCCTGCCTCTCCACAAGGTGCTTCCCGCAAAGGAGAAGTCCTCTCTCGCCCCCCCCCAGACCCCCCCCAACGCCCCCTCTCCGCGATCCACCCCGAGGGCGCATCTTTGGAGCCTCAGAGGATACCGAGGTCTCCGGAGGGCGGGAAAGAAAAGGGATCCTCCTGCGCCTTCCTCCAGCATATCACCCATCTCCCGCCCCCAAACCCGCTGACACCCCCTTCCCCAGGTGTGCTTGCTCAGCAGTCCAGCTGGGGGGGGGCTGGACTAGGTGCCTCTGGGGGTCCCTTCCAACTCTAGACTTCGGTTCTTGTCTCGGAAGAGACGGATCTCGTGCGCCCTGGGCAGCCCTTACCGGCGGTGGAGCGAGGAGGGCCAGGACATCCTGGGGTTCTGGAGGGCCGGGCGGAGGGAGGCGCGGGCCTGGCGGTCCCGCTCGGTGTCGGAGTGGAAGCGCTGCTTGATGCGGATGTGGGTGCGCGGCTGGCGCCACAGGTGCTTGGGCGGCTTGGCCAGCCCGGCGCCTTGGCGGCTCAGCTCCAGGGCGCGCCGGGAGGTGCTGCTGTCCGCCATGGCGCGGTGCTGAAGGCGAGGGGCGGACGGAGCTCCAGGCGGCGGCAAACTTGCTCCGGGCAGCCCGGCTTCTTCCAGGCGCCGGCGCCGCCTCGCCGGCCCGCGCTCTCCCTTATATAGAGCCGCTCCGGGCCAGATTTATGTGGAGCTCCTTAGCCGGGCGAGGGAGGGAGGGAGGAGGGAGCCGCGCTGCTGACAGCCCGCCCCGCCCCACCTCCCGCCCCCCCCCAAAAGCGACTCACCCAGTGGTCAGACCAGGGGCGCCCTCTCTGTCCGGGAAAGGAGACGGAGGGCTCAGGCCGGGGGCGGCGCGCTCTGCACATGCTTGGTTCCCAGCAGGCTCTTCTTTTATGCGGGAACATAGAATCGTAGAGCTGGAAGAGACCCTGAAGGACATCTAGACCAACCCCCGCCATGCAGGAATAACATGCCGCAGCCCCGAGGAATCCGGAGTGCCCCTCAGACGCAACCTTAGGGCGGCCCCGTGCTCTGAGCCCCCTAAGTGGGTTACCTGGCCTTAAACAGAACCCAGGAGTCCTGCGTGCTTTTCGCGTGTGGGTTGTCCAAGGGGTTGGGCGGGTGCAAGGAACGGCGCCAGGTTGTGATGGGTGCTAGCGGGGTGTCATAGAGGGGCTAGCGAGACTGTGTTGTGTAGTGGTTAGAGTGTCGGATTCAGACCTGGGGGACTCAGGGATTTGGACTACTTCCAGCTCTGCAATGCCATGGTGCCCCCTCTGCCAGCCTTGCCGCTCACCCGTTTCCCTTTTTTGGGGAGCCCCTGCTGCTGCCAGCTGAGTCACCCTTCGCTGCGCCACCAGCCCCTTCTCATTTAAACCCCCACCCAGAAATGCCAGGCAAAGGCAGACGCGGCTGGTTTATTCCTTTGGGAGCTGTCCCCGTCCAAACTGGGGGAGAAATAAATGTTAAGACGCACGCAAACACCCCTAAACTATTTTTGCAACCGGCAGAAATGAAAAAGCAGCGATCGAAACGCCCTCCAGCGGCTCCTTCCCTTTGACGGATGGCGCGTAAAGGGGAGGTGGGGGAGACGCTGTAAAAACACCTTGATGCTAAGCCAGGCCTTTGGCCCATCAAGCCCAATGATGCCTGCACAGGCTGGCAGCAGCTCTCCAGGGTGTGTGTGAGAGGAGTCCTTTTCCCCGGCCCCATATAAAGATGCCATCTAGGATTGAGCCATACAGGAACTTGGCTATGTTCCTTCCCCTAACAATAAAGCAAGATGCTAGTCCTCAGTGTTCTGGTTTTAATAGGGAGCTGTTTCATACAGAATCAGACTTAGCTCAGCACTGGCTACACTGAGGGGAAGCAGCAGCTCTCCAGAGTTTCAGGCGGGGGGGTGTGTGTCTGTCCAAGCCCTACCCGGAGATGCTGCCAGAAACTGAACTCGCAACCAGGCAGGAAACTTTCTACACAAGCACGTCTCTAAACCAGAATTGAAATTTAATCTGCCCGAAACGATTGCCGGCCCACCCCTCCTCCTCCCCACAGAAGCCGCTTTTGTGCCTTGCAGTGGAAAAGCAAAGGAAATTCAATCAATCAGCCAGTCAATTTCTGCAACAGCTTAATTATTACCAAGACGAGCAATAAAGTGGTTTGACTGCTCCAATTCTTCCTCCTGCCTCTGGTGGATGATGCGGGGAAGGGGGGCAGAAATGTTGCCGTCCAAATCACTTTTATCGCCAAGGCAAATTGGGGGGGGGTCCCTAGATTTATGGCTGCTACAGAGCTGTGAAAAATGCACAGGAGCCTGAGCAGGGAAAGGAAATTGGCAATCCTCCTCATCTTTTCTTTCCCCTCCTATCTAAGAGCTGCAGGGCCTGTGAGCCCCAGGCTGGGGGAGAGGCCAGATGTGGCCCCCCAAGGCTTGCTATCTGGCCCTCGAGGGACTCTCCCCGCCACACACCCCTCTCCACCCCAGAGGATGCTGGCTGTACAAGTTTGATCTTGGCACGAAATGGAGACTCTATCCAAAAAGAGAGAGGCGAGAGGCAGTTCTTAGCTCCTAACTTCTCAGAGGGGGGCACTCTGTGCAGGCTCAGAGGCCACCAAAAACCGTGCAGATTTGACAGTCCACGCCATGCCCTGGGTCTTTCCTTCTCAACACCATCAGAGAAAAACTCTACCTCTTACCTCATAAGGCTGGTGCCTTCGGTGCTGGCCAGGGCGGTCTCCTCGATGGTGAAAACAACCCTGCCGTGTTCTGGCTCTGGGGCACGGCTAAGGTCACTGCCTGCCACATGCCGGGAGACGAGGGGCGGAAGCAACAGCGTCCCTGAGAAACGGCGCTTGACTGCGTTTCCTGGGAGAGCTCCGACGCCAGGGCCCAAGTCCAGCTGCTCTCGGGATCTCTGGGGTGGGGGGAGAAAAGAGAGGGGGGTCAGCAGTGTGCTCAGACCATTTGGGGAGGCGCCCTTTCCTCGCCCGGCTGCCACATTGCCCATCTTTCTAAAATAAAGAGAGCCCCCAGGTTCAGAGGCAGTCTACCTGTAAACACCAGCTATGAAGGGACGAACCACAAGGGAATGCTGTTGCTTGTGTGCCCTGCTATCTGAAACTACAAGGGTAGGAAACTACAAGGAGGAAGCAGCTGGAGGGAATGACTTCTGGGTCAGTGCATGTGGCTGCCGAGAATAACATTCGCTTTTTTTGCTGCTGCATCACTCAGTTGACATATTCAGCTTGTGGTCCACCAAGACCCCTAAATACTTTTGACATGTCCTGCTAGTAAGCCATGTGTCCCCCATCCTATATTTGCAGATCTGGTTCTTCCTGCCCCAGATTATACTTGACCTCAGCCAGGAACAGCTGTGGGGCAGGATTCCTGCACTGCAGGGGATTGGACTAGATGGCCCTCAAGGTCCCTTCCAATTCTACAGTCCTGTTATTCTGTGGTTTCAGTTGTCTCTATACTATACTCTGTACTAATGCACAGAGTATGGGGAACAAGCGAGAAGAATTGGAGCTCTTAATACAGGATGATAAATACAACTTAACAGGGGTAACTGAAGCCTAGTGGGATGAGACTCATGACTGAAATGTAGAAATGGAGGAGTATAAGCTATTCAAAAGGAATAGATCAAACAAGAAAATGGGAAGGGAGTGGCAATATATGTAAAGGGCCTGACAGGCTGGGGGGGAGCAAAAAATTGTACATATCACTTGGGAAGACAGGCGAACTAATGCCAGTTTACTAGAAGAAGCAAAGATCCCCAGTGTCAAAGCGATGATTCTTCAACATCAACTTCACTGGACTGGTCATGTTGTGCGGATGCCTGACTATCGTTTTCCAAAGCAACTCCTCTATTCCAAACTTAAAAATGGAAAGCGTAATGCTGGTGGTCAACAAAAGAGGTTCAAAGACTCTCTCAAGGCAAATTTTAAAAAAATGTAGTATAAACACCGACAATTGGGAAACACTGGCCTGTGAGCGCTCCAGTTGGAGAACAGCCTTGACCAAAGGTGTCCTGGGCTTTGAAGACACTCGAACTCAGGACACAAGGGAGAAACGTGCTAAGAGGAAGGCACGCTTGGCAAACCCTCACCATGATCAACTCCCGCCTGGAAACCAATGTCCCCACTGTGGAAGGATGTGGAGATCCAGAATTGGCCTCCACAGTCATGGACTCACTGTTAAAACCGGGTTTATGGAAGACAATCTGACTCGGCTACGAGGGGAAGAAGAAGAAGGAGGAGGAGGAGGGGGAGGAGGAGGAGGTGGTGGTCTTTGGATGTCCTTATGACTACTGGATCACCGTCACCCTGAAAAGACTTTTCGAGGATGACTCTTAGGGAGGGCGGGAGGGAGAGGGCGGGAGGGTTGATTGAAGAGGCGCCGAGTTCGATCCATCTCCTAGCTCCATCTATGGACAGCATCCATTAACTGCAAGCATTAGCCTCCAGCAAAGGCTTAAAAAATTCATCCCCTCGCCTCCATATTTATTATTGCTTCCATATGACATCGCTCCAAAGAAAAAGCAACGCGAGCCATTTTAGAAAAAAGGAAAGGAAGGGGGAACAAAAGCAGTAAGATCTTCTTCTTCCTCTGAAGGCGAAGCAAGGTGTCAGTCCTCATGATGCCAAATAAAAAAGGAAGGGAGGAAGGGGCCCAACAGTCATTCTGGCCAGCTCAGTTGGTTAGAGCATGCTGAGAACGCCAAGGTTGCAGGTTCAGTCCCCATAGGGAGCAGTGCTGCAGAGGGTTGGACTAGATGACCCAAAGGGTCCCTTTCCAACTATGATTTGGCCCCTCTAGCTCAGTGTGACAGCAGCAATCCAGGGTTTGGGGACTGGAGATACTGGGCATCGAACCCTGGGAGCTTCTACATGCAAAGCTCTGGAGTTCCCCTTAAAAAGAAAACAAGCTCCTAGTCCTTGTTGTTCTTAGTGCTCATTTGAACCGGAAGCTGACCTCTTCTTGTGGGAGTTTATCAGCCAAACTCCCCCTCTGCGCCTGGGAAAAGGCTCAGCTAAGGAACAAACACGCACAGAGGGAGCACCTGCTTTTCTGATTCCTCGCCAACAAGCGGTTGCCCTGGGGTGCCAATTAGCGCCGCAGGAGGGTTAATTGCCACTTACGGGCAGGCACGGCCACTCTCTCTCTCACGGCTCGGCTGCCAATCATTTCCACCTGAGAGCACCTGCCAGACCTGGCCTCCAAGAAGGGTGGAAGGGAGCTGGAGGAAGCGGGTTGCGGGTTCAAATCCTCCTCCCCAAAATCCAGGCACACGTTAAGAGATTTGGGCCAAGCGTCAGCCCGGGGAACGGGAGACATTTTGTTTAACCTCTGCGTCTTTATTTTAGGTGTTTATTCCCTGCTTGTCAAGCTTGCTTTCCCAAGCAGCTTGGCTGTTTTGCAGAACCATTGGGCTGGAAGGGAACCCCAGGGGCCATCTAGTCCAACCCCCCCACAATGCAGAAGAGTCCCTGTCAGGTGGCCATCTGACCTCTGCTAGAAACCTTCCAGTGAAGGAGAACGTCCACCCCCTTGAGGGAGTGCGCCCCACGGTCAAACTGTTATTATAATTAAAACAATAGATCGCTTAAGGCCTGTACCATCTCTAGGCCAGTGAAGCACCACAGCTAGAAAAAACCAGTTATACTGTATAAAGTAAAATTAAAGGCAAATCCCAAACAGGAGAACATTTAAAACCAGCAGAGAGAACAAGAATCAATCAGGGTGTCTTAAAAAAAAAAGAGCTTTGCAAAGCCTGACTAATAATAATAATAATAATAATAATTTGTTTTTGATACCCCACCCATCTGGCTGGGTTTCCCCAGCCATTCTGGGTGGCTCCCAACATAATATTTAAAAGCGGAAGAAAACCTCAAACATTAAAAACTTCCCTAAACAGGGAATCTGCCTTCTAAAAGTCAGATAGTTGTTTATTTCCTTGACATCTGATGGGAGGGCACCACCACCGAGAAGGCCCTCTGCCTGCTTCCCTGTAACCTTGCTTCTCGCACTGAGGGTACCACCAGAAGGCCCTTGGGAGAGGGACCCTGGTGTCCGGGCTGGAGGCGCTCCTTCAGGTCTACTGGACCGAGGCCGTTTAGGGCTTTAAAGATCAGCCCCAACCCTTTGAATTGTGTATTCAAAAAAAAAAAAAAACACATTTGGACCCGGAGGTGGGCATCATCACCTTCTTGGCACCGCATGAGCAGCATGTGCCAGTCAAGGACCTGCCAGCCCTGGTGGGCACTGCAGCCGGCACGCTAAGAGGCCAAGAAGAGCCCAGAGCAAGGGGGAATTCCGGCTTGTTTTCTTAAGCGGTCCTCCGCCGCCAACTGACAAAGAGGCCAAGAAGCGTGACCTGTTGCCAAGGAACCCGGCGAGAAGGGGCACCCATTGCCCAGCACCCGGAGGGCAAGCCAGGGCCTGCATGCCCTGACCAAGGGCGGGAGGAGGAAAAGACTCCGCTCAGAGCCTTTTCTTCTCCCCCCAAAGATTTAGGTTTAGGGTCAGAGTTTCCCTTCTCCCAGATGGGCTCCTGAGAGCCAGTGTGGTGCAGTGGTTAAGAGCGGTAGTCTCGTAATCTTGTGAACCGGGTTCGAGTCTCCGCTCCTCCACCTGCAGCTGCTGGGTGACCTTGGGCCAGTCACACTTCTCTGAAGTTTCTCAGCCCCACTCAACTCACAGGGAAAGGAGATTGTGAGCCGCTTGGAGACTCCTTTGGGTAGTGATAAAGTGGGATATCAAATCCAAACTCTTCTTAGTCTACTTTTCTCCTTTCCTGGGGGGACGACCCCTACCTGCCCCTCGCTTCCCCCCATGGCACAGGCAGAAATCGCCTTCTTGACCACTGGACACCCCCCCCGGCTATCTCCTGCTTGGACTACTGCAGTGGGCCAGATTTGATAAAGTGAAGGGTTGTTGACCTTTTTTTAGGATTTTTACCCAAAAGTTGGTGAGCTTTTTAGGGTTGAAGTTGGTGAGCTTCTTTTAGGATTGAATGAAGCTGTTAAGGTTTTTTGAGGATTTTACCCAGGAAATAAACTGCCACAGGGGCCAGATTAAACCGACCGGCAGGCCGGATCAAGCCCCCGAAATGGACTTTGAACATGCCTGGGCTACTGCCATGCGCTCTCTGTGGGGCTCCCTTGGAAGGTGACCTGAAAACTGCAACTAATCCAGAATGGGGCAGCCAGACTGGGGACTGGGAGTGGAGACCATATAACACCGGTCCTGAGAGACCTACATTGGCTCCCAGGACATTTCCGAGCACAATTCAAAGTGTTGGTGCCGACCTTGAAAGCCCTAAATGGCCTCAAAGGCCCAGTAGAACTGAAGGAGCTGTCCATGGATGTGCAGGGCAATTCTGTGTCCAGGACGGCTGTCTCCCAGCTCCATCTGGTACGCAGGATGAGACCCTCCCTGCCCGCTGACTGTCTCACCAGAGTGGCGCATGCTCTGGTTATCTCCCGCTTGGACTACTGCCATGCGCTCTCCGTGGGGCTCCCTTGGAAGGTGACCTGAAAACTGCAACTAATCCAGAATGCGGCAGCCAGACTGGGGACTGGGAGTGGAGACCATATAACACCGGTCCTGAGAGACCTACATTGGCTCCCAGAACGTTTCTGAGCACAATTCAAAGTGTTGGTGCTGACCTTTAAAGCCCTCAACGGCCCAGTAGACCTGAAGGAGCATCTCCACCCCGGACACCGGGGTCCATTTCTGGGTTCCCCCCCAAGAAGTGAGGTTACAGGGAACCAGGCAGAGGGCCTTGTCCTGTCTTCACATGCAAGGGAAACCCCTAACTCCCTGAGGGTCTGAGCCCCCTCGGCTCCCCTCTCCTGGTTCAGACGACAAGTCAAAGGTGGAAAGATGTGCACCAGGGTTTTTGAAGCCTGGAGACCCTTCCCCTCTGTCTGCCGCAGCTGCTCAATTCAACTGAGCCGCTTATCCCACCGGGAATTCTTCCAACAGGACTAGAAACAGAGTCACAATTCCTTCCCCTTGTTAGAAGAATTTAAGGTCTCCGATATAGAAATTTGGTGTTCATAAATTTACAAAGCAAACACGTACATAACTATATAAACTCCAGGAAGTACAGGAAGACAGTCCTGAATCCATTTTGACTCTCCCCAACTGACCAAATGTTTCTCTGCAAGGAGGGAGGGAATGACAAAACCTCTCCATTGTCTCTTTGCTCACAAATCCTGCCTTCAGGGCACATTTAAGATACAAATAAGAAACGTTTGAGGTTAATTTAGGAGAGACAAAATGGTTTCAGGACTTTCTTCCTGTACTGTTTCAGACACACGGCTTATATATTTATGTCTGTGTTTGCCTGGCACATTTACAGTTGCACCTCGGGTTACAAACACTTTGGGTTACAGACTCTGCTAACCCAGCAGTACTGCTTCAGGTTAAGAATTTACCTCAGGATGACAACAGAAATCGTGCGCCAGTGGCAGAGGAAGACTCCATTAGCTCAAGTGGTACCTCAGGTTAAGAACGGTTTCAGGTTAAGAATGGAACGAATCAAGTTCGTAACCCGAGGCACCACTGTATTTTATATCTCAGACCTTATAATTCTCATAATAAGAGTAATTAGGCCAGGAATTAAGTGGGAGGCTGAGGCGGAAACAGGAGGGAAAGAAGGTGGAAAGAGACGTCTCCTTCCAGTCCGGAGGGGAGAGATCCTTCTAGAAAGAGAAGCCTCCCAAAGCGAGGATCTCTTGTGACTTGGAGGTCCCTCAGGAGTCACTGGCAGAAAGGACCACCATGTTGAGAGCCAAAGGACGGAGTGCAAAACAATGGAGAAAACCTTGAAGGGAAAGAACATTGCAGGCTGAAGTCTCCCAAGTTTCATCCCCCCGGGTCATAGTCTTCCTTGTCAAATAAAACCCTTCTTCTTCATTTGAACAAATCCTGCCGGAGACTCCTAAATATTAAGTTTTACCTCACGCAAGTCCCTTACAAGACAATCTGAGGGAGTTTGAGGGAATTGGTGGAAGTGGGCGCCTTGTTTGGAAGTGAGAGGCCATTGCATATTAATTGGGGGCAGCGCCGTGATGCGAAGTGAAATCCCACACAGAAACGTAGCCAGAGACACAGAAGAACCAGTTTCATAAAGTACTGGAGTTCTTTCATTAAAAGGAGGGAAATTTCCTGTCAGAAAATGACCAGCAAGCGCCAAGCCAGAGACTCAGGGTGACCCAGTGCAGAGCTGCTGCATCTGAGGAAAATCCTCCCCCTGAATGAGAGATGAGGAGACTAAGCTTGGACTTGGCGAAAGTGGAAGCAGAGAAAGAAAAACATCAAGTTGAAGAGAAGTGGTGTTGTGTGAGGGGGGCGCTCCATTTTTAAGCGAGAGAATGGACCCAATGGCGCCAGGGGGAAAAGGGCTGTCACACTATTCCCAAGCCTTTGCGACTTGACCCGTATCTTCTAATGCTGCTTTCTCCTTTGGAAACTGAGCAAAAGTTTTCTCCGTCTTAGTAATAACTATCTATGTTCCTTTTTTCTTTCGGACATCCTTGAGGAAAATAAAACGTTGGAACTGAGCAGGGGCAGGAAAAGCGGTTTTGGCTTCTCTGGGCCACAGACTCCCGGAAAGGCAGCCAGGCAGCCATTGTGAAAGGGAAGAAGGTGGGAAACTTCAGAATCTGAATTGAGAACTGCTGCCATTTTGCTGAGGCAAAAAGCAGAGAAAGGGAGGGAAAATGCCAGGCGGGAAAGTTCTGCAACCTGCACTAAAAACTCTTTTTGTGCCGGCCGAGTGATGCTGCAACTCAGGTGATGCTCAAGGAAAACTAATGTAATGAGAATTAGAAGGTCTAAGGTATTATTCATATTAATTGGTGGCAGCGCCGTGATACAAAGTGAAAACCCAGAGAGAAACATACCCAGAGACACAGAAGAACCAGTTTCATAAAGTACTAGAGTTATTTGATTAAAAGGAGGAAATATTTCTGTCAGAAAATGACCAGCAAGCGCCAGGCCAAAGTGATGCTGCGACTCAGGTGATGCTCAAGGGCTACTTAAGAATCATAACTAATGTTATGAGAATTATGAGGTCTAAGGCGTAAAATAAATGTTCATAAACGTACCAGGCAGACACAGACATAATTACATAAACCCCATGCCTGAAAGAGGACAGGAAGACAGCCCTGAGTCCATTTTGACTCTTTCAGGGGCCTCAACTCTTCCTCTGCAGTTTGGATGGGAAGGGGAGAAGCTTCCCCCTTGTCTCCCGGCTCCCAAATCCTGCCTTGAGGGAGGAAGAGGGGAGCCGGAGACCGGGACTCAGGAATTCAGGATTTGTCCTCACAAAAGGAGGGCCAGGCTCTCCAGGTAAACCCAGCAACAGCCAGGTAAAGCCAGCAACAGGGAACCTGGCAGACATGATTTCTGATGTAGATGCCCCTTCTGTAGATTGCAGGGTGGCAATTTAAAAAGTCTATACCAGGCGCCTCCAAAGTCCATTTCGGGGGTCTGATCCGGCCCGCCGGTCGATTCAATGCAGCCTCCATGGCAGCATATGTCCTGAGGTAAAATCCCCCGAAAGCTCAGCATTGTAAAAAAAAGTTCAACAACTTCAATCCTAAAAAATGCTGAACAGAATAACTTTGGGATAAAATGGTAAAAAATCCCTCAACAACTTCAATCCTAAAAAAAGCTTTGCTCGGCCCTCACGTACGTTCACTTCATCAAATCTGGCCCTCTTTGGAAAAAGTTTGGGCATCCCTTGGCTACAGGGGGACAATTTCAGGAGTCTATATAAGAGCCTGCACCCCATTGTTCTGGGTTCCTCCTCCCTCCTGCGTGTGGGGAGTGAGGACCCTGTTGCAACAGTTCAATAAAGATTATGCTTACTAGCCGCTTGGCTTCTCAATATTCTCAGCTTGGCCTCTGTTATTTTCTCCTACCGATAGGGAAGCCACTTAAGGACTCTATAGGGGCTCTTGGACACCCCATAAGGGGAAAAGGAAAGATTTTATTTACAAGACCCTCTTGCAGAGAAGAGGGCAGAGCATTTGGGATTTGAGCAAGATTGGAAGGGGGGGTCCAGAACTTCGGATGGACTTCTTAACCTAAGGTCACCAGACGTCCCCGTTTCCCCAGATTTGCAAATCAGTCCCCTGACAAAATCCACCTATTTAGCAGGAAAGTGTCCCCAGAATCATTGAAAAAAAATCTGGTAACCTGATATTAACTGCAACCTCAACCCAAATATTGTCCGTCGCCCTCCTGGCTGGGCGCTCACCAACCTGCACCCACAGACACCTAATAATAATAAAAATTATTATTATTATTTATTTATTTATTTATTTATTTATTTATTTATTTATACCCCGCCCATCTGGCTGGGTTTCCCCAGCCACTCTGGGCGGCTTCCAACAAAACACTGAAATACAATAACCTATTAAACATTAAAAGCTTCCCTAAACAGGGATCCCCGCGCATTATTTTTCCTGACCTCCATACTCAGAAAGGACACCGTCGTCCGGCTTCGACGCATGGTGGCCAAACCTTGGAAGGGGCCGCCACCTGTTCCTGTCCCTGCAAAGAGGGGGAAAGAAAAGGAGAAAAATCTATCTTCAGGGTCGATCCAGAAAGCTCGCAACTTAAGTTTTCAATCGGAGCTGGGTTAAAAGCACTGACCGCCCAACTTTGTTTTCAATCATAATGCCTCCATCGACTATTTGTCCAAAATGAAAATTTCCTTATTGTGGCCAAGTTGTTCTGACGCTCAATATCATTTAGGCGCTGACAAATTAGACTGTTCGCTTTACTAAAACCCAAAGTGAGCAGATGTCATGCTGATAAACCACAAGAGTGAAGTTTTTGATGGGCAATTTTAGACCAGGCGCTCTTGTGACCTTGCAGCACTAGGGATATTAAGCCGGGGCAGGGATTTGAGTTTAGGCAAATCCAAGAGTTAAATGACCTACGCTGGATCCCTAATTCTACCGGGGAAGATTAACCTCTAGGCACAATGATGCATTTGGGACCCAGACGGGAAAGAGAAAATTTGCCTTAAGAACTTAATAATAATAATAATAATAATTTTATTATTTATACCCTGCCCATCTGGATATAAATTTGATTGGACAGCTTCCGTAGATCCAAGGTGAGCCTGTCGAAATCTGAGCCCATATAATAACTGTGCTAGAGGTTTAGCCTGGAACACTTCCAGGACTGACGGTATATCATGTTTGCCACCTTTTTTTTTAAACTGATGACAAATGAACCTTTAATTATCATTATCACCAGCATGAATGAATACAAAGTAAAGCATTAATATGTACAGAGGGATAAGATGCCCCCAAAATTCTTGCTGGGTGTCCCCACCCTGAACTTTTTAGGCTGGTTCCAGAGCTTGTTTGCCACCTTTTGTGTGCTTTCAGTATCTGGTGCCCAGAGCCGAAAACACCCCCTCTCTCTTTACAGATTTGGGCATTTCTTGGACTTACAGTTTGGAGGCCTCTCTCGCTCCTTTTGCTTCTCGAACTCGGACCCCTCACCTTGCGGGGAACTTCAACACAAAGGCTCTCCCTCCTTCGCCCGGTGGAGAGGATTGAAAAGGAAGCAAAATAATCCAAGCAGAGGGAGGAGCACCCATGGCATGCAGGCACCTTGGAGCACCCTTCCCCACCCCCTGCCCCCACCCCACTCCTCCCCAGGGAGTCCTGGCAAGCGTCCCAGCCTGGCAGGAGAAGCGGCGGAAGGGCATGACTGGTTGAACTGGAAGAACCGAAATGGGGAGGACTCTGGGGTTTGTGCGACTGCCATCCTCATCGTCAACATCACTGTACGATAGGATTGTAGATTTGGGTGGGACCTCCAAGGGACATCTAGTCCAACCCCCTCTTTCTGCCCCACGTGAGGCTGTGACCCACAACCCAGAGATCAAGAGCCTCGTGCTCTACCCACTGAGCCATCCAGCCACTGCTCTTGGCCCCCCTAAGCCTTTCCCAGCAAAAAGGGAGCCCATTGCTCGAGGACTCTGGCCTCACCCCCCCTCCCTGCCAATTGCATTTCAAGACACATTTTTTTAAAATAAAAGAAATAAATGATTAATTGGGCGCGTTGGGAAATTAACCCGGAGCCTTGTGACTCCGGTTACAAATTTGCCAAGTCTTGGCGGGCAGAGGGGGCAGCCTTCCCTGGGTTTAACACCCCACGAGGGATCCAACATGTTATTTCTTATTCCTTCTGAATTCTCAGAGGCCAGGTTTTCCGCCGCGGCACTCTGCGCATGCTCCTAGGCAACAGAGGGGCTCCACCGGTTGTTTTAATACTGTAAGCCACCCTGTGACCCTCAAGCGAAGGGTGAAGCATTGATTTAATAAGCAATAATAATGCTAATAATTGCAGCTAGCAGCCATCGATAACCCTCCCTGAATTTGCCCAAAGCCATCCCTGCCTCCTGCAGCCGGGAGTTCCGCAGTTTGTCTTATTTTTGTTTTGATTTTCTTTATTCGGTATTTTATGTGAAATACCCCGAGAACTTTGGGTATTGGGCAGTATAGGAAAGAAAGAAAGAAAGAAAGAAAGAAAGAAAGAAAGAAAGAAAGAAAGAAAGAAAGAAGGCTTTCCTTTTGTCTGCTAACCCGCTGGGCAGATTCTCTGTTGATGGGCAACCCTCTCCGGTTTAGAAAACATCCTCCCTGCTGCCAAAGCGAGTCAGCAGCTGGGCAAAACCAGTCTCCTCTTCGCAGGAAGACCCAAAACACACCCTTTGGCATGGCGCCATTTATCTTGTCCAGGTTTATTTATTTTTTGTTCCCCGGGACGTTTAGAAGGTGCCAGGAAACTCATATTTCTGCCTCTGTGAGGCTGGTGGAAAGACACTGTCAGCCACAGGCTGGGGAAACCCAGACAGATGGGCGGGATAAAAATAATAAAATTATTGTTGTTATTATTATTATTAGTGCTTTTTTTCTTTTAAAAATGTTTAGGGGTGCTCTCATTTTGACACAAGAAAATCACCATTTTATAGTTCAAATCGGGGGAAATAAATACAGCAAATGCACAAAGGTACAAAGATTTGCAAAATGTTTAGGGCTATGCGTGCGTACCCCTGCGTACCCCCCCCCCGAAAGAAGCGCTTATTATTATTATTATTATTATTATTATTATTATTATTATGCCAGTTGAGCTCCTCCTGCCAAGGAGACCTGCAGGCCAAGCAATTAGGGTGACTAATTAACTCTCAGGCCTCGTTACTTATTAGCCCAACTCCGTGGAGGTGTGCAGAGGAGGGTGAGTGGGGCTAGATTTATACTCATTAAAAAATTACAGGAAAACACAGATCAAGCTCTAGCTTAGGGCCCCACTCTCTTGGGACCCCCAAAAAAATTAAAGGGAAAAAACCTGGATGTACATTTCCAGAATATAAGATAGAAAACCAATAAAACAAAACCTACATCCAGTGTTTTATGTTGTTTCGGCTCCTCTGCTGTAAGTTATGGGGCCCGCCTGCTCCCTAAAATATCCCTGGTTTGCTCCTTTCTATATATAGGGTGCCCACATTCTGCATGTGCAAATGGCTTGAGATACCTATTAGGTCCATAAACGACCCTATAGCATATATTCAACCCAAAAAACAGCAACAATTTGCCGTTGACAAAGGACAGCTGGACATAGAAAGGGCCCCATTCCCTTCAGGAGCTGAGGGCCTCATCAAACCTCAATCCGGCCCTGACTGTGTCCAGTTCTCGGCATTGCAATTTAAGAAGGGTGTCGCGCAGATTTATACTCATTTAAAAAGTTACAGGAAAACACAGGTTATGGCTCAACGGCGCCATCTGGTGTCAAATGTCTATAACACAGTCATAACAATATAATTGAATTCAGAGTTAATTGAATGTAGCCAAGTCCCAAGATTATCCAGAATCTGGAAGCCGAGCCTGATGAGGAACCATTGAAGGAGCTGGGCATGTTTAGCCTGGGAAAAAGGAGGGATAGGAGAGCCATCTTCAAATCTCTCAAGGGCTGTCACATGGAAGAGGGAACATGCTTGTTTTCTCCTGCTTCCGGAGGGCAGGACTCGAACCCGTGGCTTCAAGCTGTATGAGAGGAAATTCCGACTCAACACCAGGAACAACTTTCTGGCAGACGGAGCCGTTCGGTGATGGGATGGAAGGTGGCGGACTCTCCTTCCTTGAGGTCGGATGGCCAGCTGTCAGGGATGCTTGAGCCGAGATTCCTGCATTGTAGGGGGGTCAGGCTGAATGACCGCTGGAGTGTCCCTTCTACGATTCTATGGCTATAGGATTCTGTGCTCTGAACACACCCAGATTAACCAGCATCCAAGAAAGTCACAGGGACAAATTTGGAAACTTTTGTTGTTATTATTATTGCACAGGCTAAGTGACAGCAGGATGCGGCCCTTCTTTCGGCAGGCCTTCGGGGGGAGTGGGGTGGAAGGGGAGCCAGGCTACTTGGGAGGAAAATGGGCAAACGGAGAACCTTCCGTGACTTTGCCCTGCAGGGAAGAAAGAGAGAAAACAGAGAGGGGAATTAAAGCTGCAGTGAGATTCTGTTGAGATGCCAAAGTTTTTCAACCTTCCCAGCCCAGGAGGGAAGCGTAGTTTTAAGCACAGCTCCAGAACTGGGGGGGACTTTCCCTCCCCACACAGCCACCCCCCTAAATCCCAGGCGTCTACCCACCATGGGGACCTCGTCCAGCTTCTGGAAGGCCGGCTCCCTCCCCTTGTAACATTTCACCAGGACCACGACAGCGCCAATGAGCAGGATGATCACGAAGATGCAGATGATGGCCACCAGGCCGGGTTTCTGGGAAATGGGCGCGTCCTCGCCGGATTCAGCTGTTGGGGAGACACACGGCTCTGAAGCTTGCCAGCGTTTGCCCTGGAAACAAGCTTTTCGTAGCCCGAGGGCCACATTCCCTTCGGGGGGGCCACATCGTGGCTGGGCCAGAGGCAAAAGCGGGCAAGTCAACACTTATTTTAAAAATTACCCTCATATAGTACATTAGTTTCTGCATGCACACTGTCAGGAGCGAGTCAGCAGCAAATCGCACTGTTAGCTGTTCATGAGCTCAGTTGCTGGAGCATCTTAATCTCATGGTTGTGGGTTCGAGCCCCACGTTGGGCAAAAGATTCCTGCATAGCAGCGGGTTGGACTGGATGACCCCCGGGGTCCCTCCAATTCTGAAATCATCAGTAAGAAAATCCAACAGGAGAGGGGAATTGTGAGGCAACAGTGCCACCTGGTGTTGAAGCAATGACTCTTCAACATCAACCTCGTTGGACTGGTCATCTTCCAAAGCAACTCCTCTATTCCAAACTGAAAAATGGAAAGCGTAATGTTGGTGGTCAGCAAAAGAGGTTTAAAGACTGTCTCAAGGCAAATTTTTAAAAATGTAGTATACACACTGACGACTGGGAAACACTGGCCTGCGAGGCTCCAGTTGGAGAACAGCCTTTACCAAAGGTGTCCTGGGCTTTGAAGAAACTCGAACTCAGGACGCGAGGGAGAAATGTGCCAAGAGGAAGGCACACTTGGCAAATGCTCACCGTGATCAACTCCCGCCTGGAAACCAATGTCCCCACTGTGGAAGGACGTGGGGATCCAGAATTGGCCTCCATGGTCACTTACGGACTCATTATTAAGACCATGTTTATGGGAAACAATCTTACTCGGCTACAAGGGATCACCAAGGAAGACCTGCAATCAGTTCATGTCCCCCGCCTTGCTTCCTGCACCTTTTCCTGTGCTCTTCCCAGCCATACAGAGCAGGCAGGAATTCAACCAGTGCAGCCCTGTCATCGCTTCACCTCCATGCTGGAAAGAAAGTTGTACCTTGTTGAATATCTGCAGTGACCGGTGGCTCAGATTCACTCAGTTCCTGTTTGTGGGGCTTCTTTTGGGGGGTCATTTTGAGGAGTCACTGGACTAGATGGGACCCCCTTGGGCCAGATCCAGCTGCAGTCAGACTCCTTGCATCTTCTCACCCTGTGTCTGTTCCAGGTTTTATTTTGTATTCAGAGAAGGAGTTTTGTTTTTTCTCCAAATACACTGTGCGTCTCTAAACACACACGCCTTTTTTTAGCTGCCTTTAATACTCTGCTTGGAAGGCAGGATAAAAAGTGGCCGCCAAGACCACATAACCCTGGTCCTGAAAGACCTACATTGGCTCCCAGGACGTTTCCCAGCACAATTCAAGATGTTGGTGCTGACCTTGAAAGCCCTCAACGGCCCAGTATCCCTGAAGGAGCGTCTCCACCCCGGACACCGGGGTCCCTCTCCCAAGGGCCTTCTGGCGGTTCCCTCCCTGTGAGAAGTGAGGTTACAGGGAACCAGGCAGAGGGTCTTCTCTGTGGAACACCCTCCCAGCAGATGTCAAGGAAATAAACAACTGTCTGACTTTTAGAAGACATCAGGGAAGTTTCTAATGTTTGAAGTTTTATTGTGCTTTTCATATTCTGTTGGGAGCCACCCAAAGTGGCTGGGGAAACCCAGCCAGATGGGTGGGGTATAAATATATTATTATTATTATTATTATTATTATTATTATTATTATTATTATTAGCGCAAGCCATCGTGAACACTCCACATTTAAAAACACCTTCTGCGGAAGATACAGGAGCTGTCTACAGGAAGATCCTAACAGAATCAGAGAACTGTGGAAGGGACCCTGAGGGTCATCCAGTCCAACCCCTTGCAATCCGATTCCCTACAAAACATGATTATTAGCCCCCAGTCCTGGACAGGCAAAATATCGCTGCTCGAGACAGCACACGATGCTGCCCGGATCCAGAGGGCATCCGCACCTGCCTCTCACCTGTGGTGGAATTGTGGCTGGCGGATCCGGCCTCTCGGCTGGTGAGCAGTGGCTCCCTGGAGCTGGCCAGGGGGGTTGTGAGTGGGGCGGCGGTTGTCGTGTTGCCCCCCTCCCTGGTGGTGCTGTTGGTGGGCCTGGGAGGAGGCGAGGAGCCCGGGTGAGTCGTGTGGTTGGCAGAGGCGGTCTCTTCTGTGGGTGCTCCTGATGCCGTGGGGCTGATCTCGCTGTGGGGTGCAGTGATTTCCTCCACCCTGGAACTGGGTGTCCTTAGGTGTTCGGAGACTGCCGAGGGGCTTGCTGCTGAAGAGCTGTGAGTGGCCTGTGTGCTGGCAGAGACTGCAAGGGGAGGGGAGGGGAAGTCAGAAAGGAGCAAACCTCCACGGCTCAAGGAATCATCATCATCATCGCTTTTAATTTGTATACCATCTTTCTATCTTACTATACCCAAGGCAGTTTGCAAGCTGAAGAAACAAAGAATGGATGCCTTATAACCATCAAATGCAATACAAAAATGTGAGAATAAAACCTAACTTTAAAATAAGCAACCTGCATCAAATAAAGTAACATCCAGCAATCATTGGAATAGTATAAGAATAATAATATCAGCGTATAAAAATTAAATCCACTCTTAACAATTACAATAAATAATTTCTAAACTACAATCAGTAAAACCAGGGCAAGCCACAGTGCATAAAATAATATGATACAAATTGAGAAGGAGAGACTGGAGGGTGAATCATCACAGTGTACCATTGGGACCCCATAGGGTCATCCAGCAGAGCCCCCTGAAATGCTAAAGGTGGCCCGATGGAACCTCCATGGCCCAAGCTAGTCTACCTCTGGTTTTCTGAAGGCTCAGTGGGAGAGCATCTCACCTAGAAGACAAAAGGTCTCATTGTTCAATCCTCAGGGGGATCTCCAGGTAGGCTGGGGGGAGACTCCTGCCTGGGACTCTGGACAGCCACTGCCAGTCTGTGCAGACCGTATGGGGCTAGGTGGACCAATGGCCAGACAGCTTTCAGAATCATGAGGACTAGAATCTTGCTTTATGTTTTCAAAGACGAGATGCAGCTGGACACTCCAACCCAGCCTAAATCTGGCCCTGGGTAGACTGCCTCCAAAACTGGGGGTTCTCTTATGTTAGAGAAGCAGGCAGTGTGGCAGTGATACGCCTTGAGTACAGTAAGACAGAAAGAAAGGGAAATGAAAATACGCTCTGCCTGGCACGGTGCCCGTGTGGCTCTGACGCCCATGAAGGTGGAACGGGTGCAAATATTGGCCGAGGCTCTCGAGGGCCGCCTGCTACAACCAGCCTCGCCTTTCCCTGCCAGACAAGAGGAGGGCTGTTCCTCCACCTGCACGGCACAAATAATCGGCACACCTGGCAGAATCAGATTGTGGCGCTGCCCCACCTTCGTGGGCACAGTCTGTTTGGTTACTTCCCCACATCCTGCTTCTCTGCCAGAGGGACGGGGCAAAGACAGGCGGCGAGGCCAGGAGTTGTGTATCAGACCGCAACAGAAACGGGCTGGGAACTCAATGGGGCAGCCGTTCTCCATTGTGGGTCCCCAAATGTCACAAACCGGTTGGGCACAGAGGAATGGGGTGGGGGAACCCCCAAGGGCAGTGCTGAATTTATTGTCGCTGTTGGTTTGTGTTGAATATATGCTAGATGGTCATTGATGGACCTCAGAGGTATCTCAAGCCATTTGCAACCAGTCCATGCAGAACGTCGGCACCCTATATATAGAAAGGAGCAAAGCAGGGATATTTGAGGGAGCAGGCGGGGCCCAGGACTTACACCAGAGGAGCCGACACAACACAGAACACTGTTGCTGGATGTAGGTTTTATTTTATTTGTTTCTTATCTTATATTTTGGAAATGGACGTCCAGTTTTGTTTCCCTTTAAAAAATGCTGGGCCCCCAAGAGAGTGGGGACCTAAGCTACAGCTTGTTGAGCTTAGACGTGAATCTGGCACTGCCCATGCTGCTGCTGCTGCTGCCCCAGGTCCCAGTCCTTCTGCAGCCCCCCACCAGCCCCCTACCTTGATCTGAGACCACCAGCAGCAGAAGGACCCACATGGCCATGGCAGCCGAACCCGGTTCTCCTGGAGGAGGAAGGCAGGGAAAGCAGCTGCTTGAAGGAATCTCCTCCCGCCTGCGAACAGGACCCAGGCACCTGTCTTGCCACCTCTCCAAGGAGGCGGGCACCTGGGCAGTGGCCAAATCCCCACTTGTGATGCTTGGCACCTGGAAAGAAGGAAGGAGCGTGGCCTGACAGCTCCCCCTTCTGGACAGGTGAGGGAAAGCAAGCTCAGAACTCACTTTTTTTTTCCCTCTGGGCCTCACCCAGAATAAAAATTGGCTCACAGCCATACTGAATTTTTAAATATAATGTATTGGCCCGAATATAAGCCACGTCCGATATAAGCCGCACCTTTAAAATTCATGGGGGGGGGAAGGAAAAAAAGGCAATACTTGAATATTTGTGTGTGTGTGTGTGTCATTGAATCTTTCTGCCCCTCTTGCTCCTGCCCCCCCCTTGGGGAACTGCTGCAATACGCCATCACCTGGCTTGTGAAGAATCATCACAGAATTGTAGAATTGGAAGGGGTCCGAGGGTCATCTAGTCCAACCCCAGGAATCTTTCGCCCAAGTGGGGCTCCGACCTCAACCAAAGTCAGAAGCTACGGACCAGCGATGTTACGGTGGAAAGGCGCCAGGTGGCGCCATCCCTACGGCAGCCATTTCCCTTCCAACGAAAACAACTTTTTAACTCCTGATTTGCTGCTTTTCTTCCCCTTGCTGCCTTTGAAAGGTGTCTGTGCTGCTTTTTGATCTCACGATGGCCGCATTAAAGCGTTCTAATCTGCAGGCAGACGAGGCCTGCCACACTCCAGAAACCCTGGAGAGCATCTCTCAGCCGGCGTAGACACAGAACTGGGCAAAATGGACCACTGGTCCGACATTGTGCCTCTGGAAATTGGACATTTTACTCAGCTGCCTTTGGCACCTGCCTGTCTTGGGAGACAATGGAGTTTGCCTCCAGAGGGGAAGTCGAACCGTGGGAGAATCACAGCGCCGGCTGCGAATACAGAGACCAGGAGCTCAGTGTGGCTGCCTCCTGTTTTGTTTTTGCTGCATTAGCAGCACTGAAGTGACCTCCCCGGAGTACAGGCCTGAGCAGTGGGTCTGGGGGTCCTGGGCTGCCCAGATGGCAAGACCCCCTTCTCTGCCCCACTGATAGCGTCCATAGGAAATCAGAGCAAGACGTTTGGCACCAGCTTGGCGGCAGGAGTTGCCGGAAGGAAGCCTTCAAGGAACCATTCGCTCCCGAGCCTTTTCTTCTCCCAAATATATCCCACAAGGCAGGGGAGGTTTAGGGTCAGAGTCTTCCAGGCAGGGGGCCTTCTTGGTGGTGGCACCCTCTCCCATCAGATGTCACGGAAATAAGCAACTAACCCGACCTTTAGAAGACATCTGAAGGCAGCCCTGTTTAAGTTTTTCATGTTTGAAGTTTTGTTCTGTTTTTAGTGTTCTGTTGGGAGCCGCCCAGAGTGGCTAGGGAGGCCCAGCCAGATGGGTGGGGTATAAATAATAAAATTATTATTATTATTCCTTCTCTTAGATGGGCTCCCTTCCCAGGCGGATGAGCCCCACCTGCCCCTCACTTTCCTTTCCAGCATGGGCCTCCTTCTTGCCCGTTGGACCCCCTCTTGGTCTCTTCTTTGCCTGCGGGGGAAGCCCCTAAGTCCCTGGGGGTCTCAGCCCCATTGGCTCCCCTCACCTGGTTCAGCTGGCCAGTCAAAGCCATTCCTCCAGGATTGGGGCCACTGCCAGCACATCCTGGCAGCTTCACGGAGCCACAGATGGGAGCTGAGTGGAGGGGGGAACCAAAGGTGGGCAAAGTGCCCCAGAAGGAGAATGTGCCCCCCAACAGAGGTGCCCCCCAACACCCCATCCACTCAGTGGCATAGAGCCCGTGCTTTGCCTGCAGACAGCCCAGCTGCAACCCCCTGGCATCTCCAGGTACCCCAAACCCCCAAAGTGTTGTGAGAATTATAAGGTCTAAGATATAAAGGTTCTTATAGCAAAAGCGACAGCGGATCTAGATGCCCGAAACTGAACCATCTCGCTACAACCCCCCCTTGCCGTGTCCCTCGGTTTTTGTTGATTTAGCTCTTCACTTCTGAAGAGTCTGCCCTGGTATTTGTATTTATTTATGTAAGAGGCTCTTGGGCTTTTTCCTAGAAAAAGGAAAAAAATTGCTCCCGAGTAGGGAGCAATGCTAAGAGGCTAGTGTATTGTTTAAGAAAGGAGGTCAGGTCTTTGGCCCTGAATGAATTTACAGCTGGGGAATTGACAAACTTGCTTGCCTTCTGCCTTTTTCTAATTCCTCTTCTGTCTTCAAGGAGTTTTATACATGCCTTTTCCCCATTATTCAGATAGTGTGTGTGTGTACAAATATATATATATACAATGGTACCTCAGTTTTCGAACGTAATCCGTTCCGGAAGACTGTTCCGAGTTCTGAAATGATCAAAAACTGAAAACTCAACACAGAAGCCGCGTGGCTTGTTCAACTTCCGACAAGAGTTCAAAAACTGAAGCATTTACTTCCAGGTTTAGTGTTCAAAAACTGATATGCTTGTCAATGGAGATGTTTGAAAACCGAGGTACCACTGTGTGTGTGTGTGTGTGTGTGTATGTGTGTGTGTATGTATGTATGTATGTATGTATAGTCCTCTGTGTACTTATTTGAGAGTGACCTCCTTAAATCCAATGGGGTTGGTAAGGTCAAGGATTCTCATTTGAGGCAACCACGGGGCAAACAGAAACCATGGTTGTCTTTATTCTGTGTTATACTTCCTTCCTCCCTCACATCAGCTCTGGCTCCTCCTGCTGCCGGAATGTGGCCCCTGACATATTATCCCAGTGGCCTTTGACCAAAAAATAAAAATTATCCCACCCTTGATCTACACCCGTGAGGGCTAGAAATCCCATCCCCTCTCCTTTTTAGAATAATAAAATAGATTTTGCATCCTAGAATCAGAGAATCACAGAGCTGGAGGGGACCCCAAGGGGCGTGTATCCAGCCCCACTTGTCTTCTGGTGATGCTATCGGGGTTTCAACCTAATGGGCATGGCTGCCTTTGGTGGGTCTGCTCTGAAAATAACTTATTTGGCTCCAGCTCTCTTGGTTGTGGGTCTTTGCCGCTAGCTGCCCTCCCTGCTCACAGCCCCCTTACCAAGAGAGAAAAAGGGGAAAGTTTTTTGCCCAGCCTCAAATGCGCATGAAATATTTCTCTCCTTGCCCCCCAATTCTCTAGCAATCGGACAACACTCCACATCTGGTTCTGCTATTAAGCTGTGGGGAGTCAAGGTAGGCCTGCCTGCTTTACTCAGCTCAGGGAAGTAAACACAGATGTAAACACAGCCCAGTCCGGGACGCCTCTCTTGGCCGAGTCCCAGGGCAAAGCAAACCCGTGAGGCAGAACAGGGGGAGCCTCTTCCGACTGCATCCAGCCGCTGGGCCCTCCAGCTAACTGCTAGCACTCCATAATAATAAATTTAAGTTTCCAGTCCACTGTGTTTGGAATAAAGGGCTGATTTAAAGAGGAGTCTCTTCTGCAGGCTCTGCCCCTGAGCTCCACCAGTTCCCAGCTGCAGTGCTGCTGTGAAAATTATTATTATTATTTATTAATAGCATTTCCCCCAAAGATTCTAGTCCTCATGGACGTGAGGGGAGGATTTAAATAAGCTGTTGCCTTATGCCAAGAGCACTGAGCTCAGGACGGTCTGTGCTGACAGCGGCTCTCCCAGGACTTCCGGCAGGAAGTGTTTAATTCCCAGCCGTACCTGGAAACAATCCCAAGACATTCTACATGCAAAGCATGTGTCCTATCCCTGTCCTAAGATGTTCTCGCCAGAATCGAGATTGTGATTCTCGCGCCTCTAAGTGGAGGGGTGGTTTAGGTAGCAGCAAGGAAATTTGGAGTGCAAGCCTGTCCAGTGTGCGGGGGGGGGGGGTCCTGTGTTGGCCAGACAACCCCCCCTTGACCTCACTGATGGGGGACAGAGACCACCCGTACCCCAGCCTTTAATGTTCCACTAGTCCACAAAAGCCCCCCTTCCCATACACAAAGCCCCCTTCTTAAATTCCCTGCCCAAACGCTGCATCCTATGGGTCTCAGTATGGCTTGAGTTCCACCTTTGAGAGGACGGAAGCTGCCAAGGGGGAAATTGAACAAGAAGCCCGGGAGGAGGCAGGTGGGTGAAGTCAACCCTTAAGATTTCTACTAGACCAGCAAGTCTAGTATATCACTTGAACTCAGGACGCAAGGGAGAAACGTGCTAAGAGGAAGGCATGCTTGGCAAACCCTCACCAGGATCAACTCCCACCCGGAAACCAATGTTCCCACTGTGGAAGGACATGTGGATCCAGAACTGGCCTCCCCAGTCACAGACTCACTGTTAAAACAGTGTTCATGGAATGAAATCTTACTCGGCTACGAGGGATCGCCAAAGAAGAAATTAAATCACTCACAAAATCAAAAC